TAGTTTGTTTCAATGCCTGGTCCTAATTGACGGGTTCAAATGAAGAACCAGAACACAATCCCGCCCAGGTGCCGCATACAAGCTAAGGAAGACTTCCAGTCTCAGGGGAAGTATGAGACCTGGACGACGCAGCCTCAGAAACCAGAAGTCTTTTTAGTATTGGTAGTCACTCGCCCGTTAGATACTTGGTTGATATTTTTATTTCTAACGGAGTCCACCAAGGGTGGAGCTCCAGCAATTCCCAATCTGCCAAGTGTGGGGCGAGTAGTGTGTTAACGCTTACTTCTTCCGTCGTACTCACTGTCCAGACATCGTACACGACCTCTGCAAGTGAACGAGTAGGAGACGTTCGCTGTTACAATGTCACTACGGTTAGCAACCGTGATGTTAACACCTGACAAGTGGTCGCCAGTAGGCTTGGTCTTGTCATAAACGCCAAGGTGTTCGAGGATCTTGACAATTGCCAAAGGTGTGCAAGGCAGCACGCACTTTTGCGTCTTCTCGTCGTCTACGTAGCGGATGTTACGGTACAAGTTGCCACGGTAGAATTGGCACAGTCCTTCCACGTCCTTCTTAATGCTGATGCTGTCGCGCAAAAAATCGTCCATGGTGCCACCGAAGAAGCTCGGGAAGGCGCCGAAGCACGGGTAGTACACGAGAATACCGTGCACATCCGAGTCTTTGTTGGCCTTCTCCAAAGCCTCCAGCAGCTCGTCCTTGGGCACTTCGCGCAGCTCGTAGCGGATGCCGTCGCGTGCACAGGCCTTGCCCGTCCACTCGGCGTACTTCTTGGGCCGTGAGCCAGCAAACCCACGAGCTTGGGACCCACGCTACCCATGTCCTGCTCAATGTACTGGCGCACGGCCAAGCTGAAGGGCTCGGCGATGGTCGCAGCGTTCATTTTCGCACCGGCGGAGTCGGTCATCTTGATGTTTGTGGTAGACGTCGGTTTGACGGATGGCTGGCTGACCATTAAGCGAAAAACCGTTTGGTAAGAGCTCGATTTTTTAACGCTTTCGAAAAAAAGGGTTCAATTAATATTTGATCATATTATAAAGCCAAAATAATTAAGAGTCGTTTTTTCAAAAAGAAACGCTTTGTTTAACACCTTTGGAATTCCTTTTTATTTTAAATCGCAATGATTTGATAAAATGTCATTGAAAAAAGTGTTTCGAAATCAAAGTGCTTTTAGAAAAACAGAAAGTTTTTTTTTCTCAGGGTGGCTCTTAGCCACTGCCACGTGTGCCATGCCATGGCACTAGAGATTGAGCCATGGCATGGCGTGGTTACGAATAGACCTGCCACTGTGCCATCATGAAAACTATTTTTTAAAATATTCATTAATGCAAATAAAAGTAGCATGGCACATGGCAATTGCCCCTTGCCATGACACTTGCGAATGTCCGTGGCACTTCCTGTCATTTTATTTACTTTAAACTCTAGCCCTAGCAAGCGCTCATCGAATCGGATCACAGCATTTTGTGCCATGGCGTGGTTAAGAGCGACCCTCAGTTAAGCGAGCACTTTTCAACGTCAGACTTAAAAGCGATATCAAAGCTCCTATTGCTTTTTTTTAAGATGCCGTTTTCGAAAGCGCTTTTTTGTAGAGTACTTAAATTAGCTCTTCAAAAAAGCACAACAACATTTTTTAGGTGCTACAGGGCCAAAGCAGCGCATGTTTAAAAAGTATAAATTAAAGCAGTATGTAAGCGGGCACTCGCTGTTAAGGTCGAGTTGATTCAGACTCCTTGCGCTGATGGTACCGTCGTCGCGCAGTGAAACAGTACCAGTACCCGACACGAGCTATTAATAAGCCAAATTAGTGGCGGGGCAGCGAATCGAGCGTCTTGTTTTTGCTGACTGGGCTTATGTCTCCAGCCCATTCCTTCAATTAAACATAATTTTGACGTTAGTCCAGCCGATTTGTCAGTGGTGCAGTTTATCGTACCGGAACGATGGGACTGAGGTTGGTCTCCCAGCTAACAACGCTGTGTACAGCGGGGACCATAAAGCCGAACACAAGCACGAATGCACTCGTGATGTGGCCTATCACGGCATCCCCGAGCTCCATAGGTGTGTGTGGTCTGTACAGCATTCTCTTGAAGTAGTGTTCTTCTCTTCGGAGTCTTGTTGGTCTTGGCGGGAATTGGTAACTGAGTCTGAAGACGGCAGCTTTGTGAATTAGTACACGTCGACCTTCTGGATCGCGGCGTTCTTTTGCGTCCCGTAGCATAGAGACTGCATTGCGGGACGCTCGACTGTGTCTCAGCTACGGACATCAATTTCAGCTTACGTGGAAAACTGTGAAGTCACTTTTGAACTTCAAGCAAACGCGTCTCTCCAGACGCACTCTCTTTTTTCTCGTCGTCACGAACAGAAGTGTTCCTGTTACGGCGTTAATAAAACCTGGGTGGTGGTGTGTAACACTGTAAAATGTTAACCTGTGGTGTATCGCCCATAGAATAGATCTAATGCGCACACATGTTTTCTCCTGTTATCGCACGCAGAATGTCGTCCGAATTTCCATATTGAAGTTGTCGCTTTTTGTAAATTATTAGACGCTCATATTCTCAACACATAACTAGTAGAATAAAAGTGAAAAGTGTTGACGAAACAGAATGCAATAAACTTGATCGCGGATTGCCACCATTCGCGGGACCACGGAAGGCCAACATGCTGCACACGTCACTGTGTCAGGCGTTTCGTCGTCGGCAACGCCTACTGTATCGGAGATAGCTCCAGGACCGGTCAGTTGACGGCGATTGACGTTTTAGCCTGGATCGCTCGACCTTAAGAGCCTTTATGAAAAAGCGAGAGTCATACGACATACTTCCCGAGGTGTACCAGTTGGCACGACTCCGACGTGGCACTTGTTTCAACGCGGCTTCAAAATGGTCGCCGTCGTCACCTGTTCGCTTCGCGTCCGACGAAAACGATGGCCACCGAGACGGCACTACCAACGCAAAAAACGAATTCCCATATTTTGTTGAAGAAGTTTATTTTTTAAGCATCGCAGCAACAGTCACAACTTAAAGCGATGATGACGCAATGTGTATATCGCTTTGCTAAATGAAAGATCTTCTTGAAATCTACAAAAGAGGCGATTGGCAAGTGGGTTTTTCGCAGGCTGAAGTTGACGTTAATCATTTCTATGCTGCTATAATAATTACACATGCTCATCACGAATGGTGGTCAATGAAATGGGTGCCTTTGAGACTCAATTATTACCTATTTGCGTCATCCAGACTAAGACCAACAAAACTTGAGAGAAAAGCATAAGAGAATGATGTACAAGCCACACACACCCATGGAGCTCGGCGACGCCGTGCTGGGTCAGATCACCCTGGCGCTTGTGTTTGTGTTCGACCACATGATTCCCGCAGTGCAGAGCGCCCTTAGCCTTAACGGCCGGACTCTCAGAGCGCACAGAGGTCCTGGGACTGTGATCACCGTGATCACTAGCGGGCGACTGCACGCTGCCTTCTTTGTGCTCACTGGGCACTGGGCTGTGCCCTCCCACAGAGCCCGCATGAGCATCCTGAGTGCTCTCGGACTCGGCATCGTCTTCACTGCCCCGAGTTGAAACTCGCGTTCTACGAACCGAGGGTTCGGACGGTTGTCTGAAGACGAAGGCCGACGGACTGCGGCGCCTGCTTGCGCGCTTGTTCGCCAGCCCGCGTCACCCGAGGAACCGACCTGAGTAGCCTCCTTGAGTGCAGAGCCTTTGCCGTGAGGCTTAGTGCTCTTGGCCTGCGCCTTACTGGCTGCAGCCTTGGAGCGTGTCTTAGCACCGCTCTTAGTAGTGCCACGAGGCATGTTAACGGTCGAATTGGAGACCTAGACGAAGAGCGCACAGGTTGCTGCTCAAAGCTCTAACTGTGAAGTGAGCCTCCGCCGCGCTCGCGCGGCCAAGTCGATGGATTTCGACTTTGAGAATGAGAGTTTGTGACGAACACCTCTTCATTCTGATTGGTCGGTAAACCGGACCTAAGTGGAGGAGGATGTAACGGGGTACGTAGCCCTAAGTGTACCCTGGCTACATGAAGTGTGACACTTCACACTTCAGGAGTATGACACGTCATACTCCGGGATATTTAGTACAAGGTACCAAAGTCGTTCAAAGCCAACCATTGGTTAAATGACATTGCATTTCTATAGGTAACTAATAGTTTGTATTAAACCCGAGCTTATCCTACCTATAAATATACTCAGTTTACAATCTACCTTATTTAGGTCACTTCGCTCTCTTAATAAAAGAGGGGACCTGTGAACTGCCGTTCACTGAGAGTTTGTATACTCTCGGAAGATAACTTCCTCTTGCGCAAGGTGCTGTGTGACCCCGTCACA